AACAACGACCGAATACTCTCTCCTTTATTGTCAAAAACCATGTAAGTATTGAATTTCCGATTCAGCCTAAAAACATTCTGCATGGTATATACTGATACTCTTTTTCTGATCTGTTTTATTCACTTCTATACATTAGGGAACCGGGGAAATGCTCGTTCACAGGAAGCGCGGATGATCGGAATATTCTGACACAGTGGGTCTGTGAGATTGCGGCGAATGGCCAGTCATTTTTGACGCCGAATGAAATGAAAACTAGTACTGCTTTGGAGCTACCGGAAACAAGGATTTCTATCGATAACGCCGAGAAAATGCAAGAGTATGTAATCACAAACGTGTCGCAGAAAGAAATTGGTGGAGTGCTTTTTACTCAACTCTCTAAATGTCTGATTTGTAGATTAATATTGTTCGAAACTTCCTGTGAGACGGTGAAATGAACCATCCCTCAATTAGTGTAAGTCACTAAATATTCCGCAAGCAAAAGCAAAAGTACTCAAACAACAACACATTTCGGTAGACCAACACCCTTCTAGTTTCACAGTAGATAGAGCACAGCAGTGTTCCCCACTGAAACCTAATGCAGTCTGATACAAGCCATGACATAAATCCTGGATTTCTCGCAGATATGCAAAAAACCCTTCGTTCTTTCCTATAAGCCGTTATTGCCCACCAGACAGTTTTAAATTTGTCAGACCTAAATACACAGAGAATGTGTTTTCTGCAAAAGGATGCCTACTTTGTTCACTCAAGATAAGCATCCCCTTGGAACGAAACCTTGCTGACTGTGCCATAGACCTTTATTGTTATTTCCACCCCAAGTCACTGGAAAACTTGCTTGCCGACTCGGACATCTCCGACATTTGCTTGACAGTTTCCCTCTGTGGCTAACCACCTTGTTTCATCTCATCAAAAGGTTTAGAATGTACGTGTTCTCCTAACAGCAGCAGCTTGGAGCTTCATGCTCCTGGTTTTTAGATGACTACTCACGCGGTATTAAAAAGGTTACAGTCATTGGTTCGGTGAACAACGAACAATAATGAGAGGGACACAAATGTGCCTTCCTCTTACCTGGAAAACGCACAAAGTCAACACGCAAGTGACATGAACTTAAGCGTAATGCTTGGTGAAATGGTAATCATATTCGCTTTGAATGTTAGAAACAATGGTGTTGTGTTCGACTGATACAAGTTTCATCAATTTTGAGAACAACCTTTGCCGATATGGTATACGTATGCTTATTTTTGTACCTCTTCTGTTGGTTGCAACAGTGAAATAGCTCTTGATCACGTTTTACACAATTTGCACAAATACAGGTGAACAATGGCTTGGTCCTTCAATTTTCACTGCTATCATAAACAATACCCACAAGGGACAAGCGCTCCAGAGCAAAGCATCAAAGCAGTAGAGCACAATATTTAAACTGATTACTGCGGCATAATGAGTATAGTCAATGAAATACCAACGAGTATGTCGTGAGACAACTTTTCAAGTGTAGGGCAGCGATATATGTAGCTTCCCTGGGTCAATAATACAGAGGTGGTAATTCCATGCCATCAAAACTTAGTATGGGATCTTCAATGATAAAGATGTTTTGGATGCGTAACACTACATTACTAAAACTAAACTCCAGCAGTTGATAGATGTAGATCACTTGTTTTCTGCCATTGGTTCATAGGTCTAAATTTGTCAGTGATGTTCCAACTTGATGTGCCAGCAATGTCTTGCATCAGCATGATTTTGGCGAATAATCCGTTACTTGTCGTTGCTTTAGGAGAGTTCAATTAGGGCAAAATAACCCTAAAATACTAACCTGCTCATCGTCAAAGTATGCGCAATATGTCTACTTTCAAATTGCCATTCATTCCTTGCTTAAGGAAGGACCGGCCGGTTGTCACTTTTGCAAATTCTTACCGCTGCTGCTGCTTACCCTAGTAAATATTCCGAATAGAGAAGGTCGTCTGCGTCCACTTCTGTAACCAGTGATGACGAAACCTGCTTTGTCGAAGAACATGCTGGTTCAAGACCATAACTCAGCTGCACTTGCGTTACCCAGAGTTTACGTCGCGAAGCTATTGAAAAAAGATTTAATTGGGTGTAGGCACCATGGACTCACCGTTTCCTATCCTGTTTAAGTAAACAACTTAGAACTCCTTTATTAGGCGTCCCCCTTAAAAGAGACAGGATGGCGTGGGAACGTCCCCCAATTAAGCCTGAGAGAGCCCGTATTCGTGAAACGACGTCATAGTTAATGGTGTACATCGCCTTTTGGAATACTATCGAGAACCTGTGAGTAAGGAACAGAAGTCACCGCCTAGAGCTTCCCGAAATTCACTACGTTGCAAATTT